TGAGGAGCTCATGTCCTGTCGTGGCATCAACTATTGGATCAATACGGGGAAGAGGAAAGCTATCTTTGGGGCATGCACAATTGAGGTAGGTAAAATCGATACACAAGCGCCATTTTTCATTCACTTTCTTAACTAATATAACATTTGCCAGTCAGGTTAGATAGTCAACTTCCCGGATGGCCTTCGCCCGCAATAACTTAGCTACCTCCTTGTCGATTGCTTTCTGCCTTTTCGGGCCAAAACTCCTCTATTTCTACCTTACTGGCTTGTAATTCGGGTCGACACTGAGTCGATGTACGATTACACCTAGATCAATTCCTTCCATATCTTCTTTTCTCCAATCGAACACGTCGACGTTCTCTCTCAAGAATGAAATGAGCTTGTCTTTGATGTCTTGGAACAACATTGAACCTACGAAAACCACATGCCCTAGGTCCTCGTCAACTTGCATGGGTTCTAGTTGCTCCAAAGGGGTGGGTTGTGTCTCCAGCTCATCCCGTATGTTTAGATCCTCGAATTGAACAAATTCCACCTCTTTTTTGCCTCATCGATGCCACATAGCATTCCCTAGCGAGGCGTTTGTCCCCTTTAACCTCACCAACCCCATTCTCGGTGGGAAACTTCATAACTAGATGGTACGTTGATGACACTGCTCTGATGGAGTTGAGGGAGGACCTTCCAAGTAGGATGTTGTAAGTAGAGGGGGCGTCCACCACTAAGAAACGAATAGTGGTAGTAACCTAGCAGGGGTGGTCCCCATAGTGAGAATGAGTTGTATAGATCCGATGGGCAGGACTCTTTCGCTTGAGAAGCCTAGAATGTGGGTCATTACGGTTCAAGGCTTGATCTTTCTATTCCAAGTTGGTCGAAGGCAAAAGAAAAATAATGTCTATTGAACTACCATTATCGATGAGTACCCGATGTACCGCCTTGTTTGCAATGATGGCTTTTACAACCAAGGGGTTGTTGTGGGGGTGCTGATATCCTTTGAGGTCGGGCTTGGAGAAGGTTATTTCTAGGTCTTTGCGTGGGACTTTTTGAACCGCCTGAACCTTGAGAAGGTCAGCTAATTGCCCTCTTGGAGTATGCCTTCCTCACTGAGCTTGACTCCTCTCTACCTGTGAAACCACCCGAGATGACCCAGATTTTGCCAAGGGCCTGTGATGTTGTTGTGGGGGTGTAATGGCGACTTGAGCATCTCACCCCTGGTCATTCTGCTCTCTTCCTTCTCCTGCCACATAATGGCGCAAGTATCCTCTTTGGATAAGGTATTCTATTTCTTTCTTGAGTTGGATGCAGTCATTTGTTTCATGGCTAGTGTCTTTGTGGAACTCGCAATATTTGGTGGGATCTCATCTCCTAGGATCAGACTTCATCCGAGGCGCCCCATCTAATAAATCTCTCATTCTGGACCTCATGGAGGAGCTGTGTGATGGAGGTGTTTAGGGGTGGGAGCCTCCTTGGAGCATTTCTAGGCTATAGCTCTTAGGGTGGGGGCCCAAGGCAATCTCTCACATTACCTCTTCTCTTTAGGGAAAACTCTTTCTCTCTTCTAAGAGAATGATCCCTACGTGGGGACCAGTCACACCTCCTCTCTTTTCTTAGACTGCGCTCTCTCTTCTTTCTTTCTCCTTCTGTGGACGATGTCTCTCCTTTTAAGTGAAGGGCCTCCTCGCCATTAATGTACTTCTTGATCTTTTCTAGTACCTCGACCATTGTGGTTTGAGTGTTTTTGGCGATTGAAAAGATGAGGTCCTTTGACTGGGTACCGAGTCCTAACATGAAAGTAGTCAACATGAAATTTTCGTCTACGCTTTCTACCTTCAAGCATTCTTGGTTGAAGCACTGCACGTAACTTTGGAGGGACTCATTGGGTCCCTACTTAACACTCAAAAGATGATAGGATGGTTTCTTGTAGGTTCTGGCTTCTATGAAGTGCGACACGAACTGTATAGACAGTTCTTTGAAAAAAGAGATCGACGTCAGTTGCAACCTGTTAAACCAGGCTATCGCCGACCCTTTGAGGATTATGGCAAAAGCTCGGCAACGGATAGGGTCTGGATACCCATGTAGCTCCATCTGATTTTTGTACGAGTTCAAGTGATCCACAAGATCCTTAGTTCCATCAAATGCTTCTATCAATGGCATTCAAAACTTCTAAGAGAGGAGAAAATGGAGGATCTCAGGGTGAAAGAGGACTCGATTTGTTGGACTAAGGAGTCCATGGTGTCAGGGGCTTTCCTCTTAACCAATTCTTTTACGTTCCGTAGCTCTTGTTGGATTTCACGTAGTTTCTGTTCCAAAAAATGATCCATGACGTCCAGTGGAGGAAAGGGTCAGTCTTCTCGATGAACCGCCCTGGCCCGATTGTAGGCTTCGTCCTTTGTATTTCCATCTGGCTTTCTCATTTGATGATTCTCTTCGGAATAGCTATGTTCGTGGAGGTTCGTGACTCCATTAGGCGGTATTTGAAGATTTGGGTGAGGGACATCATATTGTGCTGGTGGAGGGGGAGGAGGTGGCTCAGGGTGCATTGTTGGAATCTGCGGGAGGTGGTGAGTTTGTATCCACGTTATCAAATCTTGATTTTGCTTTATGAGTTACAGAGTGGTCCAGCGATAGGTTTCCATCTCATTGAAGGAGGAGGATCTACCACCAGAGGGTGATTCTCGACGTTCGCTACAGGGGCGGGGAAGTTCTCTGGTGGGTTCTGGTGAACCTGGGGGTTGACGTGAGGTTTACTCATGTTCCGAGTTAAGACCATCAAACTAACTGAGATATAGAAAGAAAACTTGAAGGAAAATGATGAAAAATGTTCCCACAGATGACACCAAGCTGATGGTGCTCAAAAATACTTAGCCCAGGTCCAGAATGGTGATTTTCTGGTCTAGAAAGGTAGTATTGAGAATAAATTGATTGACAATGAATTTAGCAGTGAGGATGTATCAGCAACAACAAATAAATCGTTTACCAGCTGAAAAGCTTGGTTAATCCACTGTAATGGAGGCTCTTGCTCCTTAGAGATGTATATTTCTTGAAGAAAAAGATTGCAACAGGTTTTTTTTTATACAATGCTTTAGTGATATCAGTATATCAGCGGGAAAAATTGCCAATCTCCTTTGTGTAGTGTGATAGTGTTTTATTTATATGGGTGACTTTTCTAGGGCTTCTTTTCCCCTTTTTGCTGGTTCTGTGGTCCCCTCTTCTTTTGTCCTTTAATGATCTCTGTCATGCGACGCCACTGTGCCCACGGTCCTTGGGTGGCTACGTGCACAAATATTCTCTACATGATCGTTAGAGACTTCAAAAGTTTTCCCCTGGCCCCTTGGACACGTGGTGCGAAGTGGGGCACTTGGGGCCTGGTGAGTATCGAACTCCTTTATCCCGGGCTTCTTATCGCTAAGCTTGCTATGACCGAGTAGGGTCATGCCGATCTGGACTTTCCGTTGGGCTTCCTCCTTTAGATTATGACTCATTCCTTGTTATGGAACAAATGGGTTGTTAAGGGATTTCTTGGGCTGTTGTGCACCCTTTTTGGCCCATTAGGTGATTTGGTTTTGAGATGGGCTGCCCACTTCAAAATCCTACCGTTATCATATGTTATAGTTGATTTTTTAGTATATAACAATATCACATTGTTACAATACAAATATAAGTATTACAATTTAATCAATTTTTTGACAAAAAATATAATAAATTTATAATATAATTAGATGTGCAAATACTCAATAATAATAATGTTACAAAAAGATTCATTTTAAACAAAAGAGAAATTATCTAAGGAGTCGAAGAAATACATAAACATACTCGAAGAAAGGTAAAATAGATTAATAATTAAGTTTGATAATACTTAAAATAAAAATTAATTAAAATTATATAATTTATTATTCAATTTAATTATACCTGTAACTAAAATTTTTATATAAAATATTGGAATGTACAATAATAAGATATAGATTGGAATTTATTTTTTCATATAAATATAGATATAGATCGACAATTGTATATAACTGTAATACTAATAAATGAGTTCAAAAGAATTTAAAAATATTTATAAAAGAATGCAAAACAAGTTGAAAGTCAAACAAATATTAAAAAAATATATGAAAATATATAAATGAATATAATTAATTTTATTATAATAATTAGGGATAAAATAAAAAATTTAAATTTTTTTACAGATACTAACATTTATTAATAGTATAGATTAAGAGTATAATGTAAAAAATTATTAAATTTTTTAGGGTACAAAATATGATTCTCCCCCTAAATTTATGGTACCCACATTCGCATGTACTCTACAGTAAAAAAAAAAAAAATTGAATAATGTTTTGCATATCATCTTTGTGTACTATGTCACTTACACTATTTGATGTGGTATACTCATAAACTATTGAATATTTGATAATTGAGTTGGTGCAGGTGGTGTGTTGCATTGTTGAAAAAAATTATTCCTGCCCACGTCCACCGACCGATCTGTACTCTTCACAACAAGCAAGAACAAATGGGTCGGGTGTCTGCTTCAAACGTTGAGCGGGAACGCTGTTATAGTCTGCTTGACCTCATAATTGTTTTATTTCATGTATTCAATTCCTAGAACTCTAGAATCACTCGCTGACTACATAAAATGCTCAATATCACACAAAAATCCCTTAAGCCTCAAACAATTACCCCAAATTCACGCTCAAATACTCACAAGTGGTTACTTCCATTCCACTCCTCTCCTCACCAGCTTCCTCTCTTCCTGTTATCATTCTCAGGACCCTCGCTATGCTTTACTTTTCTTGGAAAATCTACCAAAACCAAACCCATTGCTGTGGAATTGGATGATTCGTGTTTCATTAGAATCGGAAAATTATCGAGATTTTGTGGATATCTACAATGGGTTAAGGTATAATAATTTGATTCCTAACACACCTACGTGTTCTTTAATTCTGCGTTCATGTGCACTTACGTGTGCGACCCAGTTTGGGGAATCATTTCAATGTCAGATATTGAAAATGGGTTATGAATTTGATGTGATTGTACAAACTGGGTTGCTTGATTTTTATGCAAAGGTTGGGAATTTGAAGTCAGCAAAGCGGGTGTTTGTGGAAATGCCTGAAAGAGATGTCGTGGCTAATAACGCTATGATATCGGCTCTCAGTAAACATGGGTGTCTCGAGGAGGCGAAGAATCTGTTTGATAGTATGCCTGAGCGGAACTCATGTTCTTGGAATTCGATGATCACTTGCTATTGCAAGTTGGGTGACATTGATTCTGCTCGTTTAATCTTTGATCGTGATCCTGTCAAAGATGTGGTCTCGTGGAATGCAATTATTGATGGCTATTGTAAGTTGGGGCAGCTAATGAATGCTGAGGAGTTGTTTGTTTGGATGGGGGCAGCTAAAAATTCTGTCACTTGGAATACCATGATTGCAGGGTATGTTCAATGTAGGAAATTTGGGAGAGCGATAAATGTGTTTCAGCAAATGATTGCTGAAAATGTTAAGCCGACGGAGGTAACTATGGTTAGTTTGTTGTCTGCATGTTCTCATCTTGGAGCCTTAGACATGGTGAATGGATCCATGCTTACATAAGAAGGAAAAAATTTAGGACTGATGTAGTTTTAGGTAATGCTCTTATAGACATGTACTGCAAGTGTGGAAGTATAGATGCTGCCCTTGATGTCTTTCACGGCCTTCAGGTGAAGAACATCTTTTGCTGGAATTCCGTCATTGTAGGATTAGGAATGCATGGTTATGGGGAAGGAATCAATAAATGTATTTGTCTCAATGGAAAAGGAGGGAATAAAACCAGATGGGATCACCTTTGTTGGGCTCTTATGTGCATGTAGCCATTCAGGAATGGTTTCAGCAGGTAGAAGATATTTCTCTCAAATGCGTAGCTCTTATGGTGTGGAACCTGGAATTGAACATTATGGCTGCATGGTTGACCTTTTGGGTCGATCAGGGTTTCTTGAAGAAGCGTTACAGCTCATAAGGACCATGTCCATGAAGCCAAATGCAATGGTTTGGGGAAGCCTGCTCCAAGCATGTCAGATTCATAAGGATACCAAACTTGGTGAGCAGGTGACCCAGCAACTGTTGGAGTTGGACCCATGCGATGGAGGAAATTATGTATTCTTATCCAACCTTTATGCATCATTGAATCGCTGGAATGATGTGGATAT